TAAGCACCTGAGAGAGAGTGGGCACCTCCCAGAACATTGTTTTGTGCCACTCCCAACAGAAATACTCCAGGTGGACACCTTCAGCAATCAGGAGCTCCTCAGTTGCTCATAGCAAATCCCACCTTGGAGTTTACAAAGACTTATGGGTAGAAAAGCCACACTAAATAACTTACTACACCACACAGACATTTTACCAAAGATACTCAAATGGCAACAAGCATATGAAAAAATGCTCATCGTTAGTGATTAGACAAATGTAAATCAAAATCACAATAGGTATCACTTCACACCCACTATGATAGCTAAGATAAAAAAAAGGGAGAATAACAAATGCTGGCAAGAATGTGGAGAAACTGGAAGCCTTATTCATTGCTCGTGGGAATGCAAAATGGTACAGGTACTATGGAAAACAGTTTGGTAGTTCCTCCAAAAGTTCAACATACAACTACCATATGACCCAGCAACTTCACTCCTGGGATACCCAAGACCTGACAGCCTCAATGAAAACATGCCCACCAGTATTTATTGCAGCACAATTCACAGTAACCAAAAGGTGAAACAACCTAAGTGTACGTCACCTGATGTATAGACAAAATGTGGTATACACATACAATAGAATATAACTATTATTACTGATAATAGAAGTCCTGCTACATGCCACAACGTGGATGAAACTCTAAAACCTTATGCTCACTGAAATAATCACAAAAAGACAAATATTGTATGATCTTACTCACATGAAATAAAAAAGGCAAATGTATAGAGACCAAAGTTTTCTTTAGTGGTTGCCAATGCTGGAAGGGAGCTCTGGTGGCGTAGTACCCAAGGCATTTGACTGCTAACCAGAAGGCTGGCGGTTCAAACCCACCAGACACTCCTCAGAAGGAAGACTGGGCAATCAACTTTCATAGAGATACTGCCTTGGAAACGCAAGGAGGGGTCGCTATGAGTTCAACGGCAATGAGTTTGGTTTTTGGTTCAAGGATGGAAGGGAGAGGGAAAGAAGGAGATTTTGTTTAGTGAGTTATTTGTTATGGTGATGGGAAATGTGGCTATGATTACAAGTGGTGGCTGTACAATATGACTAATGCAATTAATATCACCAAATTATACAGGTGGAAAATGAATTGGCAAATGTTGTGTTATATATCACACTGCTGTCGAGTCAGCTCCGACTCACAGCGACCCCTTCTTGGGTTTCTGAGGAGGTATCACTACAGAAGTAGATTGCCCAGCCTTCTATCTGAGGAATGAACCGCCAGCCTTCTGCTTAGCAATCAAATGCCTTAGGTACTACGCCAACAGAGCTCCCTGTGATATATATGTACTTTTAAAATCCCATCAAAGGATGGTCTCAAGCTTCTTGGCATGCTTAGACTCTGAATGTAGTGGAGTCTTCATTCAACAGCCTGCCATGTTGCCTGCTGATCTTGGGACTGTTTCTAGACTTGAATTAGTGACTTACCATGTTGCTTAATAATCTTGGGACTGTGCCATTTTACTTGTCAACGTTGGGTTTTCAACCTCAGCATCTATAAGTTGCCTGAGTAATGAGAAGCCTCCAAAGTCAGTGGGCCAGGAGCAAGAGGCAGAGCTGAAGCTCAAGGTCAAGGGTCCCTCACCCAGCCCTA